CAAGGTTGAGAACCACAGCTTTAGCGCTGTTAATTAAAAAAGGGGAGGGAGTACATAAAATGGACATTGATGGGGTTAAAACAAAGCTCTTACTATGGTACTACAAAAGGCTGGATGGACCAAAGTGGCCCCGTGTTGGTCCCCCAACATTAAAGGGCCTCAAACAAATCTGTTCTATTTACCCCAGTTTAAAAAAACATTTTAAAGTCAGAGGCAGAGATTACAATGAGAAACCTGACCAGCAATCATTTGGGGCAGCGGTCAGGCTGGTTAATCAAGTTAAAGATTGAAAACAGGGCAGGGTCTCTTGGCTGGACCCTTCACTGGGGACCTTTTTACACAATTGTGGGTAAATGGTCAGCGAATAGAAAAGAGAAACTTCCAGGACTCCTGACTCAGGCTTCAATTAGATTAAAATACAGTGGGGCCTTGACTTAGGAGTTTAATTCGTTCCGTGACAGAGCTCATAACTCAAATTACTCGTATGTCAAATCACTGTGACGTTCGCTGCGCCAACTAGTGGTGGGGTATCTGAAGCTGGCTCGTACGTAACCCAAATTTTAGCTCGCAACTCAAAGCAAAAAATCGGCCGAGAGACGGCTCGTATCTCGAAAAACTCGTTAGTCGGGACACTTGTAAGTCAAGGCCCCGCTGTAATAGAGAATATAGGGATAAGATTATGAAAATTTGAATGTTTAAGAAAGCTTTATGTGAAGTTACTGGGTCTCTTTTACCTGATGTATTACAGGGGTGGACATTGTCTCTCACTGGGAAACATTTCCCCTGCCTACTTTTATAAAACGAAAGGCATATAAATTCACCGCTCAAGCAATATTAATTAGACATGCTAAAGAAGAAGAAAAAATGTTTCATTGAGTGATTGTTGGAAAGAGCAAATTAGAAATTAAAGAGATAAAAGGTACCTAAAATAAAAGACTGTATGACTGACATTAGTCCTTACAGATGATTTTCCTCAGATAGTTTTCACTCCTTGGTCTAAGGCCAAATCTAAAGGCCATAATTAGATAATTCTTAAACTCAGGGAGGATGCCCAAAAGTTTTTGTAAATGGATTACCTCATGAGCCCAGTGAGAGAGGGAAATAAAATTTCACACTGTTCCTTCCTTCCCAAATCCAGACCAATTGATTATTGATCCTCTTTCTCCCAGGGATAGCTACTGCCTGTGTCCTAAGGGCTTGGAGTGGCTTTCTGCTTGCCTGGGACATGCAGACTGTCAGTGTTTTCTTTTGCCTATCAGAGGAAATGACTCTGGAAGGTAATGACTTCTGCATCCTCTTCATTCAGTGGGGAAGGAAGAAACTTTTCCTCTACCCTCATGGTTCTTTCGGCTGGTCTAATAATCAAATACACATGAGAAAGAGTAACAAGAGAAAATAACCAAATTTAAAACATCTACTGGTACATGGAACCCCCCATACATGAGAGAGTGAGAGACCTTACACACATGAGAGGTTCAGGGATAGAAAGTTAAAATGAGGTATACAGAGTGTCCCCCCTAAAAATGTATTCACACTTTAACAGCTGATAACAGCTGATAGCTCAATTTTGAAAATGGCATGTATTTAATAAACTGCCTTTATAATTATGCAAAGTGTGAGTATACATTTTGGGGGGATAGCCTATATAAGGCACTCTGACCTAAGTATAAGAGAAGGGGCCCTGGGGGCGGCTTCAAGAGGTCATTACAGAACTATAGGGAGAGAAGATGTTTAGAATTAGAAATTTGCCCTGCCCTATAGATAGGCCATAGTAAGTTATTTCTAGTAATAACTCTTATTAGGGGCAAGGCCCCTAGTTCTTTAAGAGAGAGGTAAAAGTTTCTCATAAGCCTGCAACGTCTTAATGTCTTTAGCTCAAAATAATTCACATTGCAAAGTAGCACATTTGGGGAGGCCTGTTCTGAGCCCCTACAAGTCCATGATATTGTTTAATACTGCCAGAAATATTGTCCAAGCTGAAACCTGACAAGACACTTGAAAAGATTTAATAACTTTTTGGCTCAGTGGTTGGAGCTTTGGCCCACGAGCCAAAGGGTCTCAGGTTTGACTGCCTTCAGAATTCAGAAACTGGGATTATAGTCTGCTCAATCATTAACTATAGTTTTTCTTTTGTTTCTATAAGGATACCTCCTAAATACTTGATTGTTTGCACCATAGGCCTAACTTTGGAACTCAGCTGCATCACTGGCTCCTGAAATAAGATAAAACTGTTTAATTAAACTGATCTATTTTCAAGACAAAGACTCTTTTACTGAGATATGGAACAATCTATCAACCTACTTTCTAGAATATAACTTCTCAGGAAGTTTCAAAGGCAGGACTGAAAGGGTTCAGAAGAGGCCACCCCAAGATGTGCCCCTTTGGCATGTGAATTATTTTGAGTTGCAGCCTTGTGAGAAACTTTTACTGCTCCCTTAAAGAATTTAAATGGGGGGCCTTGCCCATAATAAGAGTTATTACCAGAAATAACCAGGGCAAACTTCTAATTACTGAACATGTCTGTTCTTATTGTTTTGCAATAACCTTCCTCTCCTCTGAAGCTCCTATGTGCCTTACCTTATCCTTACTTCAGAAGGTTATATATACACTAGAGGCCTGATGCACAAAATTCGTGCGAGGGGCTCGGCCGTCCAGAAGGATGTCCAGAAGGATGTCCAGAAGGACGTCTAGTCTAATTAGCATATTATGCTTTTATTATTATAGATCATTTTCCCTTTCTGTTTCTGAACCTCTCATGTACGTGGGATCTCTGACTCCTCATGTACTAGTACATGGGTTCTCACACAGAGGTAATTAAATTTGTCAATCTGTCTCATGTAGATCTAATTATTAGAAGCTGAAAGAACCTAGGAGGGTAGAAGAAAATTTCTTCTTCCCTCACACCAAAAAATTTGTTTAATGTATTGCTGAATAATTTTTATGGGTCTATTATTTAATAGCTGTTTTACTTATAAAGCTACTGTTGCAAGAGAGCTTAGATCATCTAAACTACAGGATGAAAAATAAGATTAGTTCAATTTCTTAGGACATTCTTTTCCAAAATTTATACAAGCCTAAACTAAGTCATTTAAGTCACTTTGCCTGCCTCATATTATAGTGGAATTGATCATTGTGTTTATCATTTGTTCAGAATTGAGTTTTAAACACTTTGAATACTGTCGTAAATGTTTCCCTCCACGTCCCGCGTGGTTCAGGGTTCAATATCTGGAAGAGGAGCCGCACACAAATGAAATAGAAAAGACAAGAGATAATTTGGAAATATTGGGGGACCAGGTGGGTAAGTCCAACTCAAGAGGAAGGACTTCCACCCGTGCTCAGTCCGCACCGACCTTTTATAGTCTGAGGTAAACAATGCAGTGGTTACCATAGTTACAGTTCTTGTGAGTTTCACCTGTTTTGACCATAGTTACACTCCCTGCACTTCCCTCAGCCCATTAGCTTCCCAGGTAAGATCTGGGGAGTGTTATAAGGTCAAGCCTAATTATGCTAAGAGGACTGAGCCCTCTAAGCTGGGACTTGTTTGTGATTTTGTCAGCAGGTCAGTCCGAGGCTCAACCCTATATCAGTTTCCCACAGAATACAGTCATGTGCCACTTAATGACAGGGATTCATTCTGAGAAATGCATCATTAGGTGATTTTGTCATTGTGTGAACGTTATAGAGTGCCCTTACACCAATCTAGATGTTATAGCCTACTACACACCTAAACTATATGGTATAGCCTATTGCAGTGTAGGGAAAGAAAAATAATTTTACCTCTACCCTTAAGGGTTCTTGGCTAGACAGCCCTGTAATAAAATACAGATTAACAGGAGAAAAACAAACAAAAGTTTAATAGCATGTACACTTCCTTTAAACATGGGAGAGACAGGAAAACTGAGTAAACTGCCAAAATGGCTGAAGCCACTACCTTAAAGATCATCTTCAGCTAAAGACAAAAGAAGATATTGGGGGTCTAGGGAGTCATTTATTTTCCATCCACTTCTAGAAACTGTCTGTATCATGGTGGCTCACCTACCTTGTAGGAAGTTTGCTTGTTTGTCAGTCTAGTAAAAGGAAAAAGCCCAGTACACAAGGGTAAGTTTGTTATGGAGATTTAAGTCATATACTTCTTCACTGAGATGAGGTCATCCCCACCTTCCAGGTATAGAGAGCAAAACACCCTTACAAATGGAGATTTCTTAAAATCTAAATGCCCTTTGTTTTATTTTTGTTGACACAGATGTCCTCCTTCCCCCCCTTTGCCCACCTCCACCCAGTACCCCCCCTTCCCTGGCCTTCATCACACTGTTGTTTGCAAAGATGGGCTATGGATATATGTTTTTTGGCTAATCTCTTCACAGAGTAACTTCTGCTTGGTTTTCAGAGCTTCTCCCATATATGCTGTTTAAAATAAAGTTAACCAGCCTAGCATAATCCTTATGCCAAATAGACATATTTGGGGGTAACAAATTCTGTTCCCCTTCAGCTCCTAGGCTATAAACCTATAAAGCATGTTACTGTACGAAATACTGTAGGCAATTGTAACACAATGTGAAGTATTTGTGTGATGTGTTGCACTACAGTGTCACTAGGCAAAAGGAAATTTTCAGCTCCGTTAGAATATTATGGTACCACTTGACTATATGTGGCCCCTTATTGACTGAAATGTCATTATGTGGCACGTGACTGTATTTTATTTTGCTTATCACACAGGGAGACAATACAGGGAGAAAAGCCTGGTGTCCTTTTTTATGAGTATATTTTCATCCATTTTCAGTGCTCACAAAGGAGCCAGATCACACTTGGGTGAGTCTCCGCTGCCATTTACAAATGAAAACATTCAAGCAAGGTTTTCTTACCCAAGGAAGCACATGTACAAAAAATCTTTACATTTGACTTAACTAATGTTGCTAAATACATATTTGGGTACATATCACCCACTTTCGCCCATGCCAACCTTTGACATATAACTGTATAACTAAAGTCCTAAAATTGTACAGATACACTACAAATTGGTACCATAAACAAGGATAATTAGGGATTTGTTTTGTATCTTTCCCTTTTGCAAGTGCTTTTGTTGATCTAGCTACTTATCTTCATCTGCCTTATAAAGAGAAATCCTGGAATGGTTCTTGACACATTGGCTCGGTTATACAGCTATTAAAAATGTCAAATATTCAGATCACTTACTAAATCTTCATTATTACCTTACTATGTGCTGCTACTAATTAAACAACATTTCCTATTCACATGAAGTTTGTGGGAAGTTTGTGGCTTGGTTTAAATTCTTGTTCTTTTGTATTGTTCTATATGCTTATTCAAGTGCTTGGTCTGAAATGGGGAGATATTAATGATCCATATTTATGTATACTAATATCCAACATTAAGTGAACGCTTAGTATGTGTCAGGCCTTATTTTATGTGCATTTTCATTTATTCTTCCCAGAACATAAATCCAGTAAGTAATAGAGCTAGCCTGGAACCCAGGCCTGGCTTCAAAGCTTGGCTCAGCCATTACAGTAGCCTATTTAGTAGCTTTCTGGATTAAGCCTGTGCCTCTTTTTTGAGCCTTCTTGGTCCTGATCATTACAAAACCTCTGCAACTCATCCTGTAATCTAGTTTCATAAAATAGCAAGCCTTCTTGAAGTTTTTGTCTTTCAATTATTTTCCATTCACTTCTAGATAAGAAACTGCATGCCTGTGTCATGGTGACTCGCCTACCTTGTAGAAAGTTTGTGTGTTCTTCAGTCTAAAAAAGTGGTTCAGAATTACATTTTTATGTACTTACATGCCAGTAAGATAAAGGAGCTGTTTAATGAAGGTCTTATAAGGTTGGTGTTTTTTTCCTCCCTTCTACTCTTTATAGGGTAAAAGGTACAAATGGGATGCAGAAACTCAAGGATGGATTCTTGGTTCTTTTTTTTATGGCTACATCATCACACAGATTCCTGGAGGATATGTTGCCAGCAAAGTGGGGGGGAAACTGCTGCTAGGATTTGGGATCCTTGGCACTGCTGTCTTCACCCTGTTTACGCCCATTGCTGCAGATATCGGAGTTGGAGCTCTCATTGCACTCAGAGCACTGGAAGGACTAGGAGAGGTAATTTTTTTCTCTTCTGGTTTTATTCTTACTCTATATAGCTTTCTTGTCTTTTTAAAGATACCATTCTTTGGTATGAAATTGAACCAAAAATTAATATTGGAAGATAATAGGGATTTATTTTTTAATGAGAAAGATGATTAACTAGAAAATCACCTGAGTAGATTTCCTTTATGGTCAATAAAGTCTCGAGTGGGAGCACCCTGACATTGGAAGCTTTACTGAAAGAGCAGAGAAAACATTTTCCTGGAGACATTCCATAGCTCTCTCTTTTACTTTAGGAGCTAATAAAATAAAACACTATTAAAACAGTTAAGACAGACCTCTGGAACTTTTGCCATAGTTTATCTCTGCTGTGTCAATGATCGCACAGACCTAAAACACATTTTACACAATAGATTATTGAATTACCTTTTTACTTTTAAATTTGTTGCTTATTCAAAGAACTTCCTGTATATCATTTGTTCTTTTTTCTGGTCCTTTAACTTAGATAAATTATTTTATTTGTCATTTTATGTAAGTTTCTTTGTTTCTGTGATTCTTCTGTTTTTCTGTTGCTTTTAGAATTATTATTAATTTTTATGTCTTTTCTCCCTCCCCTCCTAAGACTTTTATCATTTTAAAATTTTTTAATTCCTTTTTTCCTTTCCACTTCTCCTTTGCATTTCGTATTTGTACCTCCATCTTTAAATAAGGATTTCTTTTTGTTTCTTTTAACTTCTACCCATGAAACAAAGGCATAGGTTAGTTTTCTCTCTCTCAACACTTCTCTAACCCAAGCAAAATAGTGGCCTCTGGATTTGGTGTAGAGCATGAAGTTATTTCAGGTAGTAATATATTATGCTATGTTAGAAAACCACTAACTGGAGTCATAAAAACAGTTTGAATAATACTTTCACTGTGAAAATGTTAGGTAAGTCCTAATGTCTAGGCCTCAATTCCATCATTTTTTTAAAATTGGGACTAAAATACCTGCCCCATATTCAGTCACAGCTCAAATGGATAATGATTGCTAGAGTACTTTGGAAATTGCCAAGTACTAATTTAATTTAAGCTTTGATCACTCATCTGAACATTCTTATTTTGTCCTTATCAAATAGAGATGTACTAAATAAATCCCTCTTAACTACAAAATAAAAATTATCCCTGTATTACCAGGTTCCTCTTCTCTTTACCCAAGTAGATTATACTTAATTGTAGCATATTTTCTCTGTTCCAGGTATTGAATCTCCTTGCTGCATGTATTCTCATATTTTAGCACACTGTCTATTGATGCTACTAATTTAGCACTATAGCATATTGATTGTATTACTACTGCTATCTCAAGTGACTATTTTATTTCTGAATAGAATTTAAGTTGTGTTTATTCTGAGGTTCTTTTGTCTTTCTTTATTCCTCCAATATGTATCACATGTACATCGCCTCATCCATAAAATTAGGTCAGCATCTCTCATCCCTAGCATCTGATTCACCATAAAATATACCTACATTGTGCCTAGGGTTTTATAATAAAGTTTTCCACAATATAATCTCGGTAGACATTTCTGAATGTCTTATGATTTATTCTATAATGACTCCTCCTCTTGCTCCATGATACAGATTATTGCCTATTTGGAATGCTGCCTAAGTCATTTTTGCTTCTATTAGTATTTCTTCTTTGGGAAAGAATTAGCAGAAAGTACAAAGCATATATTCTTCTCTCCATTAATAATAGCACTAGTACCATTTATTTTTACAACAATCATGCAAGATAGGGAGTATCTGTTTTACATATAAAGAAACTGAAGTTCAAGGAGATTGAGCTACACAAAGACTATACACACTGTAATTGAATGTATTCCCCACCCCCCCAGACCATTTTTTTTTATCAATTAAGATCAACTTGAATTTCTTCCAGTATCCCACAGTATTGGCTCAGTATTTTTAAAAGTTATATTGGTGCCCTGGCTGGTTTGGCTCAGTGGATAGAACGTCAGCCTGCGGACTCAAGGGTCCCAGGTTCAATTCCAGTCAAGGGCACATGCCCAGGTTGCAGGCTCGATCCCCAGTAGGGGGCTTGCAGGAGGCAGCCAATCAATGATTCTCTCTCATCATTGATGTTTCAATCTCTTTCTCCCTCTCCCTCTCTGAAATCAATAAAAATATATTTAAAAAATAATTTTAAAAAGTTATATATGTTGGTAACATTTCCATTTCATTCAGGCCTTTAATACAGTGAATGAGTAAAATTAACCTTGAGAGGGATCTTTTATGTCATCATTCAGTCTGTTCTTTTAGATTTATTATAACCTTTACCTTAGTCCTCAAATCAGTTGATAGAATTCACAAATCTTTGTTCAGATTTTAAAAGTACTTCATATAAGGTATTGTCACTTAACACTATAAAGACATTTCCCTTTATGGAACCTGATTCTGGTTTGATTCTTATCCAGAAATTTCTCTTGCAATAAAATTCAACTGAATTTAAAACATTAGCACAACTACCTTATATTTCATCAGAAATATCCTTTCCCCTCCTCAGGGTGTTACATTTCCGGCCATGCATGCCATGTGGTCTTCTTGGGCTCCCCCTCTTGAAAGAAGCAAGCTTCTTAGCATTTCATATGCAGGTGAGATAACTATTCTTATAAAAAATTTTTCTATAATTGGTTATGTACATAACAACCTTGGAGAAAAGTGCCTGCACACCAGCATCATATAATGTCAGATGCCTCCTTTGAGGGAAAATTAACTTTGGGGGGTATAACTTTATTTTTCATTTTTTTCTTTGGCTCAACTATATAAAGCAATGTGGCTTAACTAACTAATGTTATTTTCTTCTACCATAATTTATTTTTAAAAATGTTGACTTTCCAGATATCCTATATAATAAAAGGCTAATATGCAAATCGACCGAACGGTGGAACGACTGGTTGCTATGACGTGCACTGACCACCAGGGGGCAGACGCTTAACTCAGGAGCTGCCCCCTGGTGGTCAATGTGCTCCCATAGGGGTGCACCACTCAGCCAGAAGTCCTGAGCCAGGCTCATGGCTTGTGAGCACAGCGGCCGTGGCAGGAGCCTCTCCCGCCTCTGCGGCAGCACTAAGGATATCTGACTGCCAGCTTAGGCCCAGTAAGCCATCAGTCGGATATCCCCCGAGGGCTCCCGGACTGCAAGAGGGTGCAGGCCGGGCTGAGGGACCCCCCCCCCAAGTGCACGAATTTCATGCACCAGGCCTCTAGCTGGTATAGAAAATGCTATGGGGTTTTTTGTGGGGGGGTTTTATTATTGTTAATCCTCACCGGAGGACATTTTCTCCATTGATTTTGTTTTTAGAGACAGTGGAATGGAGGGGGGAGACAGAAACATCTATGTTAGAGAGACACAGCCATTGGTTGCCTCCTGCATGCTACCCAACCTGTGCTGGGGATTGAGCCTGCAACTGAAGCACATGCCCCTGACCGGAATCCACCTCCAACCCTTCAGTCTGAGGGCCAATGCTCTAATCACTGAGCAAAACCAGCCAGTGTGAGGATGCTATGTTTTTTTCTAAAGTCCTATGGCTGGAAAATTGAAGGCTCATTCTTAAATTGTGATTTCTGATTATATCGTCTAATGCACATATCATGACTCTCAACCCCTCTCTTCATATATCTTTTTTCTATGCATTTATTTGCCATCATTTTTATCTATAAGTGAGATAGCATAGGCTTTATATATGAATTATAATTTTACCAGATTACACAAGAATTCGAGCCTTCTATTAACTGAATTAAATCTTTTTTACCTGACTGCTGTTAAATACAGAAAGGCCTCTCTGTGGTGACTTACAAGCTAAAATCTAAAGGGTAAGAATGAACTAGTCATGCAAAGAGCAGAAAAAAGATCATTCCAGCCCATCAGAACAACATGTACAAGGGCTCTCAGGCAGGAAATACATAAGGGTTCAAAGAAATGAAAAACCACTACAAGTGGCTAGAACATAATGAATAAAAGGAATATTACATAAAAGTTTAGAGAAATAGACAAGAGCCAGATAATATCAGGCCTCATAGGCTACAGGAAAGAATGAGGATTTTCATTTCCAAGATATAATGCAGAGACATCAGAGGGTTTTATTTTTTGGTTTTTTGGTGTTTTTTTTAATCCTCACCCAAGGAAATGTTTTTATTGATTTTGAGAGAGAGAGAAAGGGAAACATCAATCGGTTGACCCAGGGATCAGACCCACAATCTAGGTGTGTACACTGACCAGGAATTGAACCCACCACCTTTTGGTGTATGGGATGATGCCCTAACCAACTGAGGCACCCTGCTAGGGCATAGATATCAGAGGTTTTTAATCAAAAGAGAGACATAATCCAATTTATATTTTAAGAAGATGATTCTTACAGCTGTATAGAAATTAACATGAGAAATCTGATTATAAGTTCAAGAACAGGTACTATCTGCGGTTCCCCTTGACCAATTGAATACAATCTAACCTCGAATTATTAGTCAACATTTTTTACACTCTTCACCACTTCATGTCTGAACCATGTCCAGCACAGTCAGTGGTGAACTTGAGGAGGGGTGGTGAAGGATTAAAGGAAACAGACAAGAGAATACAGTTGGGGACAGATGGATCACTGTGCCTGGTTGAGGATACAGTGACACAGCCTTAAGCCAAAGCTTTATTTTATAGTCAGATCACATAAAGCAAAACAAGGACAAGATGTTTACAATGTTCTTGCGAGTTTCAAATCTGCTTCTTTCCTGTTGTTGCCATTCTCTGAACTTTTATCTAGCTTTGTTTTGGCAGCACTTGCTGCACCTCCCGCAGCCCACATCTCTTAGCTACCTCGAACTGTAGGGTCCGACTATAAGGTCAAGCTTACAACTATAGCCTTTGGCTATAACCATGCTGGGAGGGCTTTGCCCTCCAAGCTGGGACTTGTATGTGGTTTTGCCACAAGTCATTCCAATGCTCGATCCTGTCCGAACGCTATAGCCACTCTCCACACATGTCAACCAGCCTATGCCCTGGCACATAGTACCTGGCATGGAGGACATATTCAGTAACTATTCGACTTGTTTTTCCAGCCTTTATCTTCTTTTCCTTCAACCAAAGTTCCCAAATCCACTCTCTGCTTTTCTACTTCCTTGACTCATCCTATTACAGCTCCCTCTGTATCTTCTTACCTTGTTTCTATAGGTCTAAATTTTACCCATCTTTTCAAAGCCCACTGCTGCTTCTTATATCTTTTCCTGACCTCTGAAAGTCAGAGGTAATCTGTCTCATATTTGAACTTTCATATTGTTCTGTGACACTTAACACTTTCTAACATCTATATATATACATAAGCCTAAGCAACCGAACAACTGGTTGACTGGTTGCTATGATGCGCACTGCTCACCATTGGGCAGATGCTCAATGCAGGAGCTGCCCCCTGGAGGTCAGTGCGCTCCCAGCCAACCTCCTGTGGCTGGCCAACCTCCCACAGTCCCTCCCACTGGCCAGCTGGCCCCAATCGGGACTGGGTGAGATGGCCCTGATCAGCCCCAATCGCAGACCAGGCCAAGGGACCCCACCCATGCATGAATTTGTGCACCGGGCTACTAGAATAATATTAAGACCACAACTTGAGCCAAGAAACAATATCTGATTATTTTAGCTCCTATCATACCCACTAAGGTGTCTTGTGTATGGCAGTTAAAATTAATTTTATTTATTTCTCTGAAACAATTGATTGTAACATATTGTGGACAAATTAGATTATTACAAGTTTCATTCTTATTTCATTAAGTATGCTGCTGTAGGTTATGTTTATCAGCCTTAGAGACCACCTTTGAACCTGATACCTGGATTCCTAACACATGTGACATTTACCCATTCATATTATAATAGGTCTTATATTGATAGATGCCTTCTAATGCAATAGCTACATAGTTGTAACTAATGGAACTACATATTAACATACACATTTTACATATTGTGGATTTTCTGGTAAATGATTCCTTAAGAAAATGGATTGTTTGTATTTACGTGTGACTAATTCAGTTCTTGTAGGATCTGAATCATTCTTTCTCTTCTCCATTATTTGTTACCCATCTTCTTTAAGCAATAAATGGGTAACAAAGTCTTTGTTCATCTCTCCAAAGTTTACAAAGTCTTTGTTGTTGTTCTAGGAGCGCAGCTTGGGACAGTAATTTCTCTCCCTCTTTCTGGAATAATTTGCGTCTATATGGATTGGACTTATGTCTTCTACCTTTTTGGTAAGTTCATTGAAAAATTTAACCTAAATTATAGTGTAACAAATCCAAAATGTAATAGTAGTCTTATAATTGGTTAAAAATATATATATTCCAACTCACTGAAGTAATCATCTCCAAAATTACAAAGCTCTAAAACACTGATAACCTATTTTTCAAGTTGATATGGTCAAAATGATCTGGCTGAGTTTTGACGTGATATTAGTGTGGGGATATTTCTCAATAGAAACTGCTGTTGAATCTAAGACTTAAAGCTATACTTACTATCAAAAATTACTATGTTGAATATTATAAAAATGTATATTTTGAAAATTTTCTTCTCAAGCAAGGTAGGAAGCTTTCACTTGTTAGTTTTAATTTTTGTCCCAGCGCCTTTTACTTCTCAGTCTCATTAGCATAGTGATACATGTTTTCAATAAATTAGATTGCCACAAAGACATTTTATGCAGGAAATCTAACTGCAATCAAAACAAAAGAAAACCAACACAAAACAAAGCAGATACCTGTGGAAATAATAGCTTGTGGAAATTTATATTTTAAAAGGTTTGTCAGCTTGTTCTTTTCTCTCTCTGGAGCACACCCATGCCTTTTCCCCTCTCTGTCTCTCTGCCTTTCTTTTTCCTAAGCTCCAGGGCCTTCTTTTTTGTTTTTGTTGGTGTGGTTTTTATTTGGTTTGGGTTTTTTTTTGGGGGGGGGGTGTTTTTTCTCTTCTTTTTTTTGTTTGTTAATAATTCTTTATTCTTGAAAGTATTACATATGTCCTCTTTTTCCCCCATTGACCCCCTCCAGCCTACCTTCATCCTCCTCCCCAGGTCTAGGGCCCTTCTTTTGTCTCTAACTTGTTTCCTGAGCCCACAAAGCTCAGCTGGTTCTATAGCTCACTTCTTCTACCTCTGACTTTCTAAATAAACTTTTGCAAATAAATAAAAATAAAAGATTTGTCTGGTATACTCTGAAAGGCAGAGTCATATGGTCAAAAGTTGTTCTCTTCAAAATTTATAGGAAATAATACAGATAGCAATTATCCCATTAAAGAATTATGAGAGGAACTTGAAATAAAAACTAAACTGAAACCAATATACATTGATTTTATAATTACATAATTTTTTCAACACTGTAAAAATTACTGTTGGTGCATTCTAATTTTATTTAACTATTATTTTTCTATTTTAAGGTATTGTTGGAATCATTTGGTTTGTTTTATGGATCTGGTTAGTTAGTAATACACCAGAAACTCACAAGACAATCTCTCACCAGGAAAAGGAATACATTCTTTCATCGTTAAAAAATCAGGTATTGACTTTGGCATATTTTAAAAATAATTTTGAAACTCTTTTTCTTCATAAATAAGATACCAATTGTTTTTGTTTTTTTACCACGTTGCCATCTTAACCAGAAGCCGAAGATCCCAATTTTTAACAGATATTTTCATTATGCATGCTCTAGGCAAAATGGAGCAGGCAAATGAAATAAATGTACAAAGTATTGGTTTGTTTTGCTGGAGAAAATCTAATTCTCTCTAAAATCTATGAAAAATTAATTTTTAAAGTTATTTTAAACCTTCTAGAGCAGCAGTTTTCAACTTTTTTCATCTTATGGCACACTAATTACCAAAATTCTGTAGCAGATGAAAAAATGTATATATTTTTTGCTAATCTGACCAAAAAAATAGGTATAATTTTGATTCTTTACACCAGATGGCTATTGTTGTGTTGGCTCTTGTCATTTTTTTGTAAAATATGTTTTTATTGATTTTAGAGAGAGAAGAAGGGAAAGAGAGAGAGAGAAATATCAAGTGGTTGCTTCCCAAGGACGAGGACCTAGCCCACAACCTGGGCATGTGCCCTGAACAGGAATTGAACCAGTGACCTTTCTTTCGGTGCATGACATGCTGCTCAACCAATTGAGGCTCACTGGCCAGGGCGGCTGTTGACTTTTTTTAAAATTTGACAGTCTAAGGGAAAAGAGGTCAGTGCCCCTGACAAAATAGTCAGATATTGCATGTTTTGAAAATTCTTGTGGCACACTGGTTGAAAATTACTGTTCTAGAGTAATGATTATCAGGTGAATCTTAAATTTGTTTTCTTCTTAATTAGTAGAAAATAAAATGTGTTATTTATGAAAGGAATCTTATAGCTACACTAGAGGCCCGGTGCACGAAATTCGTGCACCAGGGGGCAGGGAGGTGGGTCCCCCAGCCTGGCCTGTGCGCTCTCACAGTGCGGGAGCCCCGAGATTGATCACCCCAAAGAGGTAGGTCCCGCCCACCCATCCGAGGCTCCTCGATGGATTGCTCCAAAGAGGTAGGCCGGAGCCAAGGGACCTGCCTCCGCGCTGTGCATGCAGCATCAAGCCCCCGCCCACCCAATGCGCATGCAGCCTCCTGGTGATCACTCGTTATGGTGTGAGGGCATCACGACCACATAGGCTTTTATTAATAGGATTCTAAATGTTAGCTGTTAGAAAACTAGTATGTTTTTATCTGTATTTTAAATGAGTGTGATTTAACGATGATAGCACATTTAATATATATACCTATTTGCCCCTCTACAGTAGATCTTTAGAAAAAAACATCTTATTAAAGCTAGATTTCTATCACTTAATCAAACACAGTAGCAAGTCAGAAATAAAAGTCTGTCATAATTTAATATAAGAAATACTCAAGCCATGAAAACAAAATATTTGGCCCTAGTTGGGTTGGCTTAGTGGACGGAAGGGTCCTGAGTTCAATTCTAGTCAAGGACATGTACCTTCAATGCAGGCTCCGCCTTGGTCAAGGTGCATGCAGGAGGCAACTAATCAATGGGTTTCTCTCACATCGATATTTCTCTGTCTTTCCCTCTCTCTTCCACTCTCTCTAAAAATTAATGGAAAAATATCCTTGGGTGAGGATTAAAAATATATATATATGCCTTTTGGGGAGAATAAAAGATAATCTGAAATCATTAGGAAAAATTAAAATACATATAGTCCTTTCTTAGCTTTATTAATGGCTTCAGAGTCACTTTATTAGTTTAAGAACATAAAATAATTCATTTGAAACTTTTGCCCAATAAGTTACCACTATTGATATTTTCAATGTTTATAGAAAGTATAGGCAGGTAAAATTTAAACATTTACTCATTTACATTTTTTTAAGTTTTTAAATTTTGCTACAAATGTACCTACAAACTGCTGAACTTTAGAAAAATATGGCATATCTTGTTCTTTGCCAAAGGTCAGCAAAAAATTAGAAGAAATCAGCAGTGTAATAAGGAAAGTTACTTTGAGATCTTAGTGTCCTTCATGATGTTAATCAAATGTATCACCCACTTTTTTCCTTGAAGAAACCAATAAAAAGAATTTAATGCCATGTTAACAGGTCTTGCCACATAAAACTTTATATGTTTGTCACATTTTCTCAGCATTGCTGGGCAACAGCGAGCTTCTTCTATTATTATTTTCATGGACTTATGAAACTTTTTAGTTTTAGATTTTTTTCCAAAGCTTTCTCTACTTGATGTGTGTCTAAATCTGTCCCTTATCCAAACCTACGGCTAATTTGTTCTTTCATATGTTTCAGAAAGTAGAATATTCAGAAGCAAGAGGAGTTAGAAGGATTAAGTTTCATAGAACCCCAAACTGCATTCTTAAATCAGATGATATCATAGTTGAAATGTCATAAAATAATGTGTTTCGTGAAACTTCACCTTTAAATCTTGGATCCAAGAGATCTAGATCATCTGCTGTACTTTATTCATCCTTTAAACATTTTTTTGACAATTTACAATGTCCTAGTTTCTTTGTCAGGTACTGGGGGCTTAAAAGATAAGAGAAAGAAAATGAACAAGACATGGTTCTTGTGGGATCTGTGATCTCCAGAGGGAGACAGACATGAATGAACAGAATTTCAATATAGTGTAGTCTGCATGATGCAGTGCCGTAAGACAGACACATAAGCTCTGGCCTGTGTGGCTCAGTTGGTTGGAGCGTTGTCCTGTACACCAAAAGGTGGCGTGTTCAATTCCTGGTCAAGGCACTTACCCAAGTTACAGTTAGATCCCATATGCAGGAGGCAACTGGTGGATGTTTCTCTCCCTCCCTCTCTCCCTCTCCCCCGCTCCCTCCCTTCCTCTCTCTAAAATCAATTACATAAATTAATTAAGTAATGTTTTTAAAAAAACAGACAGATGCACAGGAAATCTTTGAAACAGAAGGCAGGGGGTCTCAGCCAGCCTGGGACATGTCATAAGTCCTCTGGTATCAGTGCCCCCCAGCCAAAGATCATCAAGAACATACCTGTAGTGGAACAGAATTGGGTTTCTTGATTTGTTTTAGTGAGGGAGAAGGCACATCATGAGGAACCATAGGGCATCTCGGTGAGAATTAGGAGCTTGTTATAATTTAGACTTGGATTCATTGACTTTGGGGAGGATTTAAAGAACTGTTTTGGTGTTAGTAGCAATTCTATAATTATCTTAATTTTTTTTCTAGAAGGTGGGGCTAAAGCTGTTAGCCAGTAGAGGAGATTTTTGCTCCTTTTTTGTGGTTCATAGCATTCTTATTTTGTCTGTGTTCAGACATGATTATAGAGTGGTCTTGTTTTTGTCTCATTCCATCATGTTTATAGAATGGCTTTGTTCAAGTTCGGTGGTTGAACACCAGGACCTAGTTGTTTCAAGCAGGCAAGCTCAGGTGACAATAGCCTGGGGATGCTTTTTTCTTTCTCACTAATGAAAGCTTTATATGATCAGTCTAGAAAGGGAAATTGGAGTTAGCCAGACAGATTGGGGAAGTGAGAGATGTGCAGGCATTCCAGGCCAAGTATATGGTGCAGCAAAGGCACAGGAGACAGGGTAATATCTCAGGAAGTCAGCAGTTAGGTAGGGCTAAAAGTGAAAAGCAAAGAGCAGCAGAAGATATAGGAGGTAGGCAGAAGTCAGATCAGAGGGTCCCCTGTGTCTCACTGAGGAGCTCAGATTTTATCGTGCAGGCACTGGGATGCCATGAATTGTTTGTAAGTTTGGTGACGGAATGAGGCTTGCCTTTTAGAGAACTTACACTGACAGCTGTGTGGAGAGAAGACCTGAGCCAGATAGGCGAGGTTCCAGTTAGATGCTTTCTTACTTATTAAGCTCAGAAAAAGTCAATAATTACAGGCAGAAATGTGATTTCATTCTTACAGTTGGTAGATCTTACATTTATGGCAGCATGTATAGTTCTAATTCTGATTTAGAAATTGTTACAAAAAGAGCAATAAAATCTTCGGGGAACTCTACAACTAAACTCCCAAGGCCAGCTCATAACTAGTGAGCTCTATACTTGTGAATGCTTTAAGATCATCAACATCTCTGTTTTAAAGATCTCTCTTTAATAAATTATAAACAGACATTACCACTTCACCCATAGAGGTTTTCTTTCCTAGAGATCTCTTATTGGTTTTTTCTTTTCTTTTTTTTTGTTTTTTGTTTTTTAAATATATTTTATTGATTTTTCACAGAGAGGAAGGGAGAGAGATAGAGAGTTAGAAACATCGATGAGAGAGAAACATCGATCAGCTGCCTCCTGCACATCTCCTACAGGGGATGTGTCCGCAGGCCGACGCTCTATCCACTGAGCCAAACCGGTTTCGGCGGTTTTTTCTTTTCTTTACTTAATTCTTGAGAACAGCATGTTTTGTAACTGTTTTTGCTTTTATACCTTTAAGAAAGAGTATACAATTTGGCAACATTATTAAGTAAATGGGGGCCTTGGTTTGAACAGTTATAAATTAAGAACATCTATTGTATGCAACTTTTTCTAAATCAATTTGTTGTTACTTGCATTTGACAGGAAAACGTTTTTTTGTGAAGTTGCACATAGAATATACTCAATATATGTTGAATGGCCTTACCCTTCATGTATTCTAGAAAATTAACACATTTTACAGAAATAATTTTTTTGTAGTTATCAGAGCAGTATGTGCCTTGTCTTCCCCAGTTACTGCTGGGAGCAGGATTCTTGTGATATCCCGAGAAAAGGAATTTTCTGAGACTCACACGGGATGATGAGACATAGTAGAAAGCTTTATTTCTATGGAATTATATCCCTGGGTTTCCAAAGTCCCATTTCCTTTAGTCCAGTCATAGAAGAAGTGTAGCTGGGATTTCAATAGAGCTGGAAGCAGAGCCAGTGTCCAGACTTTCCTTTCCATGTTGGAGCGGGTCCAGTCCAGCATCAGGGTAGTTTAGCTTGTGTTTCCCACTGCCGTCTTGCAGTCCATTGCATGTGGGGTCCGCATGGCTGTGGGCCATCCAGGCAAAATAAGGAAGCCAAGAATCACAAGAGTCACGAGCCAAGTGCACCAAGAGTCACAAGGGGAACCAAGCAAGTGAATTTCTTTGTTTAGGGGATTATGTATCCTCAAACTTCCGTGCGCTGGCAGTGGCCATGCCCCTTATGTACAACTATTTCTGTGTTCAGATGTAACTGACAAGAAAGCAAATTAGCAATTATATTCCCCATATAAGATTCCAGACCTCACTGTTTCATCAGAAATTCCATTATCATTCAAATATCTAAAGAAAATTTGCTTTCAAAATGTTGGCTGGAAAGATGATCTGAGCAATTTAAAATTTTCCTTCCCAGTGTATTTTCATTTATCACCAGTGGCATTTCAGAACAATGTAGAGCTCTCATGTTTTTGCCAACATGTAGGTTAATGAAGCCATAGAGAATGTGTGTGTGGACACTGTTTGATTGACAAGTCTTCTCTAACAGAAATATTTCAGAATCAATAGCAAGAGAATAATTTATAGATCTAGAATATCAGAAAAAGCTGTTTTGTCCTTCATTAAGGTCTTACCTTAAACCTGTGTCATCCATTACGGTAGTCACAAGCCCATGTGGCTATTAAATTCTTATTTAAACTAACTTAATTAAAAATTTGGTTCCTCTGTTGTGTTAGGCAAAATGCAAGGGCTTAATAGCCACATGTGGCTACTGGTTACCACACTGAGAAATGCAGATATAGAACATTTCCATTGTTGTAGAAAATTCTACTAGACAGCACTACCTTAAAACCTTGAAGGATTTTTTTTAGTGTCTGCTGGATACTTGGATAGTTTCTCTTAGTAACATTTTAAAAAATCCTCTTTAACTTGAAACATAATGTATAATGTGAAAATGCTGTAAATTGATCTCATAATTCTTATTGGGAGAAAAGACTTTTGTTTTGTACCCAGTTTACAAATGAACATGAAGCTGTAATATGTGCATATCCTATTCTTTCCAAACCTCACATAATTACCAATTCCTTTTTGTGGAGAGAACATTTAAGATCTACTGTCTTAGCATCTTTCAAGTATATAATACAGTATTAGTAACTTTTGTCACCATGCTGTACATTAGGTTCCCAGAACTTATTCATCTTATAATTAGAAATTTGTACTCTTTGACCGACACTCCCCCCTCAGCCCCTGGCAACTACCATCCCACACGCGTTATATCATACAGTATTTTTCTTTCTCTAATTTTTTCACTTAGCGTAACGCCCTCAAGGTCTAGTCATGTTGCAAATGGCAGGATTTCTTTGTGGCTGATTGTCTAAGTCAATATTCTCCACGGGCTCCCGGACCTCAGCCAAAAGGGGCTGGAGCTGGTTCATAACTGCCTTTAGGGTTCATGGCCGGGACCATGATTTGTATTTGTTTTACCCAATGCACAGGTGTGTGAGGCTCCTCCCAGGTCCCTTGGCAAATGGAGCTGGATCCCACAGCTCCCACAAAGGCACTTTTATCTATGGATGGATGCCAGGTGAGTCTAGGACAGTGATGGCGAACCTTTTGAGCTCGGCGTGCCAGCATTTTGAAAAACCCTAACTTAACTCTGGTGCCATGTCACATATAGAAATTTTTTGATATTTTCAACCATAGTAAAACAAAGACTTATATTTTTGATATTTATTTTATATATTTAAATGTCATTTAACAAAGAAAAATCAACCAAAAAAATGAGTTTGCGTGTCACCTCTGACACGCGTGTCATAGGTTCGCCATCACTGGTCTAGGACATCTTATTTGGCCATCTTGCTGATGTCACTCCACTTATAGCTGTTCTTGGTTGGGTGTTTCTCAAAAACATCAGATTATCGAAAATTCAATTGATATTTATAGGCCGTGAAAATACGCTAGTATGGCTAAATTTGCTTCATTTGTACAAACAAGATTATGCCTAAATACTGTTGAAATGCTATTATCAGAGCCATATATTCTTCTAAAATAATACTGTTAAGCCTTGGCCAGTGTGGCTCAGCTGGTTGGAGCATCTTCCTGTACACCAAAAGGTGGTGGGTTCCGTTCCCGGTCAGGTTGTGGGTTTGATCCCTGGTCGGGGCATGTATGGGAGGCAACGGATCGATGCTTCTCTTTCTCTCTAAAAAAAAAATTAAAATAGCCCAGGAGGTGATGGTTCAATTCCCGGTCAGGGCACATGACTGGGTGCAGGCTCGATCCCCAATAGGGGGTGTACAGGGGGCAGCCGATCAATGATTCTCTTTCATCATTGATGTTTCTACCTTTCTCTCCCTCTCCCTTCCTCTCTGAAAACAACAAAAATATATTTTATAAATTAATTAATTAAAACATCACTGTCACTACATGCAAGTACATGCAGCAGGAATCTTAAAATTATTACATATTTCACACTAAAGTTTCTTTTTCTGGAAGGGGGGGTACATTGTTCAGAATATATTTAGTTTCCAGAGATCAGATACATTTAAACATGTACCTTTCAACACAGAAGTGTGATTCATTTCCTTTGTGGGTTTCAAAGCCATATAAAATATATCTATGTTCCAAATTCCTTTAAATTCTAAAATCTCTAGACTGATCTTGTCCTTCCTCTTGTCTCTAACTTTTCAAGCAATAGGGGTGGATGGGGAGGTTGCAGACCTCTTTTATCTCTATAACTGTGGGTGACTTCTGCCATTCAAAGGGAATGTTTGGAGTTGACATTATCACTCTAATTACATTTCAATTTTTCTTCTAATTTGAAAAATGGACTCTATTACTGTATAATATTTTTAAAGAGTTGGTTTAAAAATCTGGAATTTACTAATCAAGGCTGATAATGTGTTCTAGATGGGATTTTGGCTAATAAGGTACAGATCTAAACATAGCTGTAGCTTATCCTAAATGCGCCTGGTTGTTTGTTTTTTCAGCTTTCTTCACAGAAGTCAGTGCCATGGATACCCATGCTAAAATCCCTGCCACTTTGGGCCATTGTCGTTGCACACTTTTCTTATAACTGGACTTTTTATACCTTGTTGACATTATTGCCTACTTATATGAAGGAGATCCTAAGGTTCAATGTTCAAGAGGTAAGAAAATATAATCTATGCTTCTTATAGAAAGTACAGATTTTGAACTGCACACAGAATTTGTTTTTATCTATGAGAAATTCAGTTATTTTTACCTTCCATTTTACTCTAATTACTAAATTTTAAAGACTTCTCTTTTTTGCTTCACAGTTGTTCTTTCTTTTTCAGTCAGTGTGTGTAAACTCTTGATTCATGGTATCTTTTGGCTGGAACCCCAGTAACCATAAAGTCCTGCTAATCCCTAGTAACTTGCAGGGTATCAGATCTATGTTCCAAATTCCTTTAAACTCTAAAACTTAAAGTGGCACCAACATTCACTTCTACAAAGGATGGTAGCGGGACTGCTGGCAGCTGAGCAAGGAGTTGGAAAGTGCAAGGTTCTTGTGCAGAGGCTACTCTGCAGCATCATTTAGGATTGGAAAAGCTATAGTTGTAAAGCTGTACAAGAAGGACCTTCCTGAAACTGCTAGTTCCTTTGAACTCATCAGTTGAGGTAGTTCCTATTATCTCTATTTACATTGATGGATTTTGTCTTTAAAGAGATTGAGGAAGAGCCTAAAGAGAAAGAGGCACAGTGTGTAAGGAAAATTGGTGGTATTTTTGCTTTCAAAATTAAGATAAATTAAAGACAAATGTAAGAATTAAAATGATAAAACTCTTAGAAAGTATACATCTCTGTGACCTTGGATTAGGTAAGTTTCTTATATATAACACCAAAAGCACAAGTAATCAAAGTAAAAAACTAGATTAGTTGTACTTCATCAAAATTAAAAACCTTTGTGCATCAAAGGACACTATCAAGAATGCAAACCCACTGGAGGGGAGAAAATATTTGCAAGGCACATATCTGATAAGGGTCTAGTACCCGCATTATATAAAGAACTCTTACAACTCAATAATGAAAACACCATTTTTTAAATGAGCAAATGATTTGAATGGACATTTCTCCAAAGATAAGACAAGTGGCCAATAAGCCCATGTAAAGATGCTCAGCATCATAAATCATTAGGGAAATGTAAATGAAATCCATAACCATATACCACTTCACACCTATTAGAATTAAAAACAAACAGAAAATAACAAGTGTTGAGGATGTAGAGGAAATGAAACCTTCATACACTACTGGTGGGAATGTAAAATGGTGTAGCCACTGTGGAAAAGAGTTCGTCAATTCCTCAAAAAAAATTTAAACAAAGTTATCATATGACCCAGTAATTCCATTCCTAAGTTTATACGAAGAGGATTGAAAACATAGGTCCACACAAGTACATTTACACAAATGTTTGTAACAGCATTACTCATACTAACCAAAAAGTGGAGATAACCCAAATGTCCATCAGCTAGTGAGTAGATAAACAAAAGGTAGTATATTCATATAATGGAATATCACTCAGCCACAAAGTGAAAGATAGCCCTTGTTGGGGCCCTGGGCAGGCCAACCCAAGATATCCCACAATGGCATATTGATTATTTCTAAGTGGTAAAATCACTTAAGAAGCATATATTCTTTCTGATGTTCATAGCAGCACAATTTATAATAGCTAAGATTTGAAAACAGCCCACGTGCCTATCAGTAGATGAGTGGATAAACAAGCTGTGGTACATTTACACCATGGAATACTGTGCAGCAGTAAAAAGAAGGGTCTCTTACATTTTGAGACAGCATGGAGAGACCTGAAGAGTATTATGTTAAGTGAAATAAGCCAGTCTGAAAAAGATAAGCATCACATGATCTCACTCATCTGTGGAATCTAATGAACAAAATAAACTGTTGAACAAAACAGATCCAGAGACATGGAAGAAGGGAACAGATGTGGAATCTCAAAGGGAAGGCGGAGGTGGGTGGGTGGGTGGGTGGGAAGAGATCAACCAAAGAACGTGTATGCAGATCTAAATATTATTCCACTGAGGTTTCTATTTGAGATTTTCCCGGGAGAACTATGGAAAGAATGAAATATCAATAGCTGGCCAGTAATTACTGCTGTGCACTTAATTGCCTTTATTTTTTAAAAAATATATTTTATTGATTTTTTACAGAGAGAAAGGGAGAGGGATAGAGAGAAACATCGATGAGAGAGAAACATTGATCAGCTGCCTCCTGCACACCCCCCACTGGGGATATGTCTGCAACCAAGGTACATGCCCTTGACCGGAATCGAACCTGGGACCCCTCAAGTCTGCTGGCCGACGCTATGTCCACTGAGCCAAATCAGTTAGGGCTGCCTTTATTTTTTATGGAATTTTTAAAGTTCTATAATGAGAGAATTTAAAATAGGAATCTTTTATCTTGCATTTCATATTTTAAAAGACATTTTCTTTTTTGAATCAAATTTTTTAAAAATGTGAATAGAGTTTGACAGTAATTCTCTACTTAAATAGAAGCTTTTTTATTGAGGTAACATTGATTAGTAACATTATATACGTTTCAGGTATACAATATTATAATTTGATATTTGTATACACTATAGTAAGCTCATCACCAAAAGCCTCGTTTCCATCCGTCATCATATATTTGACCCCCTAAAAGCCTCTTTTTCACATGGATTTTTTTCTTGAGAAACCAATTTATTACATGCATGAAATGGCCTTTCCTTAGGATAAGGCTAGCTTTGTATTTAAAATTATAATCTCATTAATTAAAAATTGTAAAGCTTTTGATCTCGTTATAATCTTGCTTTTTCATGTAATTTTAGTTTCATTAGTTATCCTACCATTTCTTTTTTTTCCTAGTTTTTTTCAATTCTAGCGTCCATATTTCTTACAACTCAGTGAGAGCTGGGGCAATATCTATTACCCTATTTTAGATATTAATATTTTGAGATCAATTTTTTTAAATAAATGAATACAAGGAATTTTATCCTTGCACAGAAAGTTGAATAACTGTAGAAGATATTCATGGAATGAATAAATGTTGAAGATTTTAGTAGTTTTAGATTGTTGGGAGTTTTTAACATTGTAGCTTTAGGAAAAAAAAATTGGAGCTTTAAGTGGAAAAATTCAGTAACTCTGTGGAATTATCAGCCTTATCCCATTAGGGAACAAGACCAAGATCTGAAAATTCATTTCTCTTCTTGCTACAGCTTATTTATCTGTAGGATTCTGCCCCAAGTAAAAATAGATGTAATCCCACTATGCAGAAGTCTAAATGGAATAAAATTTAAAGAGGAAATTACACAGCATAATACCAGAAAGAAACAAAAATTTTCAGTTACAGCCCTAGCTGGTTTGGCTCAGTGGATAGAGCATCAGCCTACAGACTGAAGGGTCCCAGGTTCAATTCCGGTTCAAGGGCACATGCCTGGGTTGCAGGCTTGATCCCTGGTGGGGGATATGCAGGAGGCAGCCAATCATCAATGATTCTCTCTCATCATTGATGGTTCTATCTCTCTCTCATTCTCCCTTCCTCTCTGAAATTAATGAAGATACATGTTTTTTAAAAATAAAAAAAAAATTTCAGTTATAAGAAGAACTGGAAGCATACAACATCTGAATACAGAAAACCAAACTATGATGAAAGAAATATTTTCTTAAGCACTTTAATTTAAAATATTAAATTTTTCTGGTCTGCACCATGAATGATGCTTAAATGGATTATAAGATTTAATTATTGCTGATAAAATATCTTTCTACCTTTTTTGTGTTTGTAAACACTAACACGTGTATCCATCTCTCTTAGACTATAAAAACATTTGCATGTGTGTGTGTGTTTGTGTTTTGGTGTTGTTGTTTTTTTCATTTAGTCTTGGCACCTCAGACTTATGCTGAGGAAAAATGAACGGAAGAAAAATTTCTCTTATTCTGAGTGTGTGTTCTTCATTTTACAGAATTTGTGATGTCCTAAAAAGCTGTCAAGTAATTTCCTACAAAAATAACACATTTCCATGATTAATTCTGTTTCATATCTCCTGGTGTTTTCATTTTGCTTAGGTGGTAACTTAAAGCAAAAGGGAAAAGATAGAGGTCTCTCAATCATAGCCTTTGTCCTCTGCTCAAAGTATGTGCTAATGCACCAGGCACCTGACCTAGATGGTGTTCACTTAAGAATAACTTGTTGAGATATATATTTGATTTATATGTTTTCTGTATGTGTTTTATTTTATAATAAAAATATTTTTAAAATTAAAATAAATGACACTCAAGACAAAAACTTCAGTGGGGAAAATCCATAGGCTAATAGAAAGACTTATCTTCTCTCACTGAAGCTACTGCCCCCCAAGTCCCAAAATAACATTCAAGATTGCCTTGAGCAGATTGGACTATAGTGAGCCCTGGTTCCCTTTGAGACAGGATCTTAGGGACTGCATTGAACTGAATCCTTCTATAGACCAAACTTATTTACTATCTATAGTAATACCTGGTAATATGCTAATTAGACCGGACGTCCTTCCGTACGACCTTCCGGACAAAGCCGGGGCTGTGAGGGAAGCTCAGGTCCCGGGTGCCTACCAGCAGCCGAAGGGAAGCCTGGGTCCTGGGTGCCAGAGGGAAGCCGGGGGACGGAAGGCCTACTCTTGCATGAATTTCATGCATTGGGCCTCTAGTACCTATATAAAAATTAACAGTTTATTGCTATGGATTTACTTTGTTTTTGAGTGGTGAATGCGTGCGTGCGTGCGTGTGTGTGTGTGTGTGTGTGTGTGTGTGTGTATGTATGTGTTGGTTCTTCCTCTCATCATAATTAATTCCATATCTTCTTATTCCTCCCAGAATGGAATTTTATCTGCAGTGCCTTATTTTGGCTGTTGGTTATGTATGCTCATGTCCGGTCAAGCTGCTGACCATTTAAGGGCAAAATGGAATTTTTCAACCGTATGTGTTCGAAAATTTTTTAGCCTTATAGGTAAGTGATGTGAATCAGGTTTTGTTTGGGCTCACAATTATTTACTATGTTTACAGTGTAAAACAAGGTACAAATGCTAATATTAGTCATTTATTTTGTTCACATATTAAAATATATTTTAATGCATGTAGTGTATTTGTTTATAGAAATATTCCAAGTAGGATAATTCTGTAAACATTCTGGGCACCTATCACTGAAAGTTGCTGTCCTGTTTCACTGCTTACTTACTTCAACTCTCAAGAAGTTATTCCACATCTTTAAGTGAAATAAATCTCTTTAGATTAAAAAAGGGAGGCCTTTCTCTTTTTTGGCTTTCTGTGGACCTGCTCTCTTCAGTATGGTAGCCACCAGGCAGATGTCTCTATTGTAATTCAGTTGAAACTTAAAAATAAGTTTCTCAGTTGCAGTTTCAGTATATACAAATACAACAATTCTATTCTCACAGAGATAGGATTGCACTGCAGTAGACACAGAAAAAAATGGCAGCCCACTCATAAATCCTCTTCTGTTACTTGTATTCCATGCTTAACTGCCTGTAATAAACTATGCATATTGTTTGCAGTTGTTAAGACCTATATGGAGTGTTTTTCTAACTTTATTTAACAGTTTATCATTTAGTTTATTTTCTTTGAATTTTAAATCACACTATCAGCTATTGCCTCTCTCTGGGACCATATTTTTCATCATTCTCTTCTTGCTCTTTTCTATAACATTGTAGAACTTTAGCTGAGTCTTGGTCACATGTAGATTTAATGGCAATGCATAATAAGACTTTACTTTTACTTTTATATTGGTTGCATTATGCCTATATGTTTTCCACAAATTTTTTCATGAAACTATTAATTTAAATTTAGAGTCTCCTAGGCAATACAATGTTTCTACAGTAGGTGGCAGTAATATCCAATCTCAGATTTATACTATATTAAGGTAGAGCAGGCAAATATTAATGCTGGGGCTTCTTTTCTTTTTGTAACCTTTTCACTTAAGGAATGATTGGACCTGCAGTATTCCTGGTAGCTGCTGGATTTATAGGTTGTGATTACTCTTTGGCTGTTGCATTCCTAACCATATCAACAACCCTGGGAGGCTTTTGTTCTTCTGGATTTAGCATCAACCACCTGGATATTGCTCCTTCGTGAGTACTAATAGAAAGATTGGCTGTGATTAAATTATTTTGTAATTGTGGTAAAATATACATAACATAATATTTATCATTTTTTAGTGTACAGTTCTGTGCTATTAAGTGCATTACCATTGTTGTGCAACCATCACCACAAATCCATCTCCAGAACTTTGTTATCTTCCCAAACGGAAACTCCCTAACCATTAAACACTAACGCCCCATTCCCCTTCCCCCACAGTTCCTGGCAACCACCATTCCACTTTCTGTCTCTATGAATTTGACTACTCTAGGGATGATTTTAAATTCTTGAAGATGTTTTTAAATTTAAATTTCTAACTACCAACATTTCTGTACACACTGTTTCCATAAAAACATTACATAAAATACATTATAACTGCTGCTGATCATACTGAGAAAGTATGATCAGTGCTGCATATACCCTTAACAGTGGGGAATCAAGTAAAGAAAACCTGGAACAGTTAGGCATTGGACCAAGAAACCATTTGAAATAAAAGGTAGCCTAAGCAAAAGCTCCAAGACTATAAGCTCTGAGAGTGCAGAGGCCAAGTCTGTCTTCTGTACCACAGTAGTACCGGCACCTGGCCCTGCACTGGGCCATGGTGAGTACTCAGTCAAATACAGAATTCTCAGTCAACATGCAAAATCCTCCACATTATGGTCCCAACCTATCTTTATAATTTTAGTTCTCCCTCCCTTACCTCATCTTCTACTGATTCTTTGCTGTAACTGAACTAAACTACTCTTAATTTTCTAAAAATATCCCCAACACACACACGCACACCCACACACACACACACACACACACACACACACACACGCACACACACACACACACATGCACACACACACACACGCACACACACACACACACATGCACACCCACACTTTCCTACCTTTGCCCCTTTGCTCATGGTAATCTATATACCTGGAATGCCCACATTCAACTATGATTTGTCTCACATCTTATAATTAAATTTAGATAATGTATCCTTGGCCAGAATAACTGGCCTATGACCTTCTCAGGAAATCACATCCAGAGGACTCTAGTGATGTTAATTTTAATC